GTACCCGGGAACCTCGCGCCCCGCCGGCCGCTCCCAGAAGCTCGCCGTCGCCGCCCGAACGTGAGCCACGACTAGGCCCGGCTGCCGCCGTCGCCGCCGCCGCGCGCGCTCCCCGACCCGGAAAAGCAAGGAGCGGGCTTCCGGGGCCCCTTCCGCCCCGCCCCTTGACGGGTACCACTGGGACCCAGGGTGAGGCGAAAGCCCTGAAGTGAGGGGACGCTCCACCCTGAGCGGTCGGGTGCTCGAAAAGTAAGACAGCCCTTCTCCCTTGGAGACAATTCAGTGCTAAGCGAAAGCAAAAGGAAAGCCGTGGGCTAGAACAACTTGTATTGTCTAAGCCCCCAGTAGTGGGATGGCCCGTCCTCCCCCGCCGGGGAGGTGGTACAGCCCTACTCCCCGCCCTCTGCCCAGGGCCAATCAGAGTGGACACCACAGACTTCCTGGGGCCTCACCCCCACGCTGGGAGCCCTTCCCCTCGCGCTCAAAGCCCCGCCTCGTGGTCCGCTTACCGGCTGTGGCGGTCGAGGCCCTCAGGCAGCTGCGCGGTACCGGGAGAAGGGCCGCTGGAGAGCGCACCTTGCGACAAGCAGCTTTGCTCTGCCGCTCAGTTACTGACGAGTGCATGGAGCCATATGTGTACGGGCTTTTCCAAGCGGCCTGCGCTCGCAACAGCAGCAAACGAGACCCCTTACCCTGCCATCCAAGTCCATCCACGTGGGGGAAACCCACATTAAAACAGTAAACACGGTAGAGAGCGAAATTGCGGGGTATGGCACTCAGAAAGGGATCAAAATTGGAGAGCCTGGATAGAGTGGGAGAAAAATGTGGAACAAAACTCAAAATCTTAAAATAAGACTAGGCTTACTGGTCTGATGGAGACTGGTGAAGCCCCCAAGTCTGGCCCCTAGTCACCCTTGGGGCCTGGATTCAAATCACTCCCTTGGCTCAACTTTCAGCCAAACAGTAGATAGGCTATCAGGTCCAAGAAATCAGAGGATGTATTGCTCTGGGCAAATCTGCTGCAAAAGAACTCTTTAAAGTGCTGAAGAGTAAAGATGTCTCTTTGAAGACTAAGGTGCGCTTAACACAAGCCCAGGTATTTTTGATCCCCTCATATGCATGTGAAAGCTGGACAATGAATAAGGAAGACCAAACAAGGGTTGATGCTTTGGAGTTGTGTTGGTGCAGAATACTGAAGGTACCAGGCACTTCCAGAAGGATGAACAAATCTGTCCTGGAAGAAGTGCAGCTGGAATACTCCCTGGAATTGAGAACGGCCAGACTTTGTCTCACCTACTTTGGTCATATTGTCAGAAGGGACCATTCCCTGGAGAAGGATACCATGCTTGGTAAAGTGGAGGGTCAGCGAAAAAGGGGAAGACCCTCCGAGAGATAGATTGACAGAGTGGCTTCCAGGATGGGCTCAGGTACAGCAAGGATTGTGAGGCTGGTGCAGGACCAGGCAGTGTTTCGTTCTGTTGTGGATAGGGTCACTATGAGTCGGAGCTGACTCCATGGCACCTAACCACAACAACCAGGTGAACAAGTACACCAGGGAGGTGCACTCCTTAAAACAACCAACCTTGGGAGATCAGAAGGGCAGCATTTGTACAGGGTGAAAGGTCGAAGGGCAGAATTGCATAGGAAAGGACATGAGGGGGTGGTAACCACCAGGAGGAAGTGGGTTAGAGAGCTGTTACCTTATGGGGATTGGAATCAGTGTCAAGAAAGAAAACGTGTACCAACTGTTGAATGGAAAACAAATTTGCTCTGCAAATTTTCACTTAAAATAATAAAAAGTTAAAGGAAAAATTGCATGGCAGAAGAAAAAATATATATGGGAGAAGGCGGCTTGTGCAGTAGTGTAAGGAACAGACAAGTCAAGGCCCCGTGGGTCGGGGAGGGTTGGCCGGTTTTAACGGGGTGATTAGACGCGCCTGGCGGAGAAGGTGGCGCCCAGCACTGATCTGAAGGACTAACCCGGGTAGCAGCAGGGAGACTCGTGCGACTGGAGGGGGCTGGCACTGTGTCGGGGAGGTTTTGGGGACGGAGGCCGGGCGCTGGTTCTCAGGCACCCCAGGCTGCTGGGAGGAGACCTCCGGGAGCGGTCAGGAGCGGGCTGCAGCGATATCCGAACCGGAGAACCGCTGCTGGGCTCGGGTGGGCAATGGGAAGCGCTAGGCTTCTGGGCAGATTTGGAAGACAGTTCCGTGAGGACCGGGAGAAAGAGGAAGACGCAGGAGCTAAAAGAACAGAGGGGTCCCCAGGGAGGTGGGGAGTGGGGCCCCTGGGGGAGACCCTAGGCGTGCACCCCGGAGGAGAGGGACCCCGACACTGAACGAAGTCTCCCAGGGAGCCGGGAGAACACAAGCCTGAGCACCGGGCCCCCTGCCTCAGGAGGGCAAAGGGGCCGACAAGGGGCAGCCCCGAGGTGGAGCGAAGGCCAGGAGGACCTCCCGGAAGCAGCAAGAGGGAAGAGCGCCCGGGACCCGCGAGGCCGGAGAGGGGCGTGGCCTCATGAGGGCGTGGTCATGAGAGGGCGGGGCCACGAGAGGGCGGCCCAGAGAGACCCGGCAGGGCAACTGCGAGCACCAACAGCTGTTTCCAGCGGCCTTGCTTGAAAGAGGAGGAAGAGATGGGACGGAGGCTGCGGGAGGGAGCGAGAGACGAGTGTTTACAGTGGGAGGACTACCGCGTCTTCCCAGGCTCCCGTTGGTTCGCTGCCCTAGGGTATGGGTCTCGCTTAGGGTAAGAATCGACTGAGGCAGTGCGTCTGGTTTGCTTTTGTCACAGGCTCCTGGAAACAACCCTGCAGAGAGGAAAAATGGGTGGAGCCCGGAGATGGGGGACTGAGCGACGCTGAGAGGCTGCATCTGATGGGGGAGAGGGGCCGCATCCCAGTGTTCGAGGGCCTCACCTGGACAGGGCCCTGAGGCCAGCAAGCGACATGGGCTGCAAAAGCAGGAGTCGTTCTGCCTTGCTTTGCGGTTGTAAAACAGAATAATGCACTTTGCATGTTGGTCTGTTGTTAGGTGCTGTGGAGTCGGCTGCAACTTACAGGGACCCTGTGCACAACGGAAGGAAACCCTGCCTGGCCCTGTGCCAGCCTCACAGCCTTTGCTGTGCTTGAACCCATCGTTGTAGCCAAAGTGTCAATCCATCTCGTTGAGGGTCTTCCCCTTCGTCACAGACCCTCTACTTAAAAAAAAAAAACAAAAAACTAACTGCCATAGAGTCCCTTCAACTCACAGCAACCCCTCCTTCGGTTTCCGAGGCGCTGTCTCTACAGAAGTGGATTGCCCAGTCTTCCTTCTGGGACATGGCTGGTGGGTTTGAACAGCCAGACTTCTGGTTAGCAGTCAGATACCTTAGGCACTACACCACCAGAGACCTTCTACTTTACCAAGCATGACATCCTTCTCCAGGGAATGGTCCCTTCTGACAACATGACCAAAGTAGGTGAGACAAAGTCTGGCCATTTTCTCTTCCAAGGAGATTCTAGCTGCACTTCTTCCAGGACAGATTTGTTCGTTCTTCTGGAAGTACATGGTACCTTCGTTATTCTTCACCAACACAACTCAAAAGCATCAACTCTTCTTTGGTCTTCCTTATTCATTGTCCAGCTTTCACATGCATGTGAGGTGATTGGAAATACCATGGCTTGGGTTAGGTGCACCTTAGTTGTTAGAGTGACATCTTTGCTTCTTGACACTTTACAGAGGTCTTTTGCAGCAGGTCTGCCCGGTGCAATTCGATGTCTGATTTCCTGACTGCTGCTTCTGTGGGTGTTGCCTGTGGATCTAAGTAAAATGAAATCCCTGACAACTTCAATCTTTTCTCGGTTTATCATAATGTTGCTTAATAGTCCAGTTGTGAGGATTTTTATTTTCTTTGTGTTGAGATATAATCCATACTGAAGACTGCAGTCTTTGATCATTATCAGTAAGTGCTTTAGGTCATTTTCACTGTCAGCGAGCAAGGTTGTGTCGTCTGCATATCGCAGCTTGTTACTGAGTCTTCCTCCAATCCTTATGCCACATTCTTCTTCATATAGTCCAGATTCTCAGATCATTTGCTCAGTATGTTGTTGTTGTTGTTGTTGTTATGTGCCGTCAAGTCGGCCCCAACTCATAGCGACCTCTCCTTGGGTTTCCAAGGTGGTATCTCTAAGGAAGTAGATTGCCCAGCCTTCCTTCCAAGGAGTGGCTGGTGGGTTGAACCGCCAACCTTCTGGTTAACAGTCAAGTGCCTTAGGCACTATGCTACCAGATTGAATAAGTATGTGAAAGTATAGAACCCTGACACACTGCCTTCCTAATTTTAAACCATGCAGCGTCGCCACCTTCTGTTCGAATGACAGCCTCCTGGTCTATGTACAAGTTCCTCATGAGGACAATCAAGTATTGGAATTCCCATTCTTCTCAATGTTATCCACAATTTGTTATGATCCACACAATCAAATGCCTTTGCATAGTCAACAAAACACAAATAGAAATCTTTCTGGTTTTCTTTGCTTTCAGCTAAGATACATCTGACATCAGCAATGATATTCCTTATTCTACGGCCTCTTCTGAATCCATCTTGCATCTCTGGAAGTTCCCTATCAATATACTGCTGCAACCATTTTTGAATTATCTTCATCAAGATTTTACTTGCGTGTGATATTAATGATATTGTTTGATAATTTCCACATTCAGTGGGATCCCCTTTCTTTGGAATGGGTACAAATACGGACCTCTTCCAGTTGGTTGGCCAGGCAGCTGTCTTCCAAATCTCTTGGCATAGCCGAGTGAGTGCCTCCAGTGGAGCATCTTTTTGTTGAAACATCTCAGTGGGTATTTTGTCAACTTCCAGAGCCTTGTTTTTCACCAATTCTTTCCGTGTACCTTGAACTTCTTCTTCAATACCATTGGTTCTTGATCATATGGTCCCTCCTGAAACAGTTGGACATTGACCAATTCTCTTTGATACAGTGACTCTGTGTATTCCTTCTGTCTTTTGAAGCTTCTTGCCTTGTTCAATATTTTGCCCATAGAATCCTTCAGTATTGCAACTTGAGGTTTGAGTTTTTTGTTCAGTTCTTTCAGCTTGAGAAATGCCAAGTGTGTTCTTCCTTTTTGGTTTTCTAACTGCATGTCTTTGCACATTTCATTACAATAATTGACTGTCTTCTAGAGTTGGTGTTTGAAATACTCTGTTCAGTTCTTTTATTTCAGCATTTCTTACATTTGCTTTAGCTATTTTCAGTTCAAGAGCAAGTTTCAGAGTCTCATTTGACATCCATTTTGGTCTTTTCTTCCAATCCTGTCTTTTTAATGACCATTTGCTTTCTTCGTGTATGATGTTCTTGATGGCATCCCACAAGTCATCTGGTGTTCGGTCATTGGCATTCAATTAGTCAAATCTATTCTTCAGATGGTCTCTAAATTCAGGTGAGATGTAATCAAGGTCATATATTGGCTCTCATGATCTTGTTTTAATTGTCCTTGGCTTCAACTTGAACTTGCATATGAGCATTTGATGATCTGTTCCACAGTCATCTTCTGGCATTGTTTTGACTGATGATATTGAACTTCTCCATTGCCTCTTTCCACAGATGTAGTTGATCTGGTTTCTGTGTATATCATCTGGCAAGCTCCACGTGTATAGCCGCCATTTGTGTTGTTGAAAAAAGGTATTTGCAATGAATAAGTCATTGGTCTTGAAAAATTCTATCATGTGATCTCCAGCGTCATTTCTATCACCAAGGCCACATTTTCCAACTATCAGTGATTCTTCCTTGTTTCCAACTTTTGCATTCCAATCACCAATAATTATCAATGCATCTTGATTGCACGTTGGGTCAATTTTAGATGCAGAAGTTGGTAACAGTCTTCAATTTCTTCATCTTTGGCTTTAGTGGTTGGTGCATAAGTTTGAATAATAGTATTAACTGTTCTTCCTTGTAGGCATGTGGGTATTATCCTATCATTGACAGCATTGTACTTCAGGATAGATCTTGAAACATTCTTTGTGATGATGAATGTTAATGTTATACCATTCCTCTTCAATTTGTCATTCCTGACATAGTAGATCATAGGGTCGTCTGATTCAAAATGGCCAAAAGCTGTCCATTTCAGTACAATAATGCCCAGGATATCAATCTTTATGCATTCTATTTCATTTTTGACAACTTCCAGTTTTCCTAGATTCATTCTTCTTAAATTCCCTGTTCCGATTATTAATGAATGTTTGCAGCTGTTTCTTCTCATTTTGAGTTGTGCTCTATCAACAAATGAAGGTCCCAAAAGCTTTATTCCATCCACATCATTAAGGTTGACTCTACTCTGGGGAGGCAGCTCTATCCCAGTCATCATCTGAGTGCCTTCCAATCCGAGGCACTCATCTTCCAGCCCAGTGTTTCACAGTCCTTCATAAAGTTCTCCAGTAACATACCAGACAGTGTTTCACTGCTGTTCATAAGGCTTTCAGTAGCCAATTCTTCCAGAAGTGGAGGGCCCCTTCCTTCTTCCCAGTGTGTCTTACTCTGGAAGCTCCCCTGAAACCTTTCCACCATGGGTGACCCTGCTGGCATTTGAAATACCACTGGCCTACCTGGTATCTGATCCATTACTTAGGTCAGAACAAAGCCTGGGGCTGACTGCAGAAAAGAACACCAGTTGCTCATATGGAAATACAAGTTGAAGCTGAAGAAAATTTTAAAAGTCTCCAAGACACAAAGTACGACCTTGAGTACAGCCCCCCCCCCTGCATTTAGAGACCATCTCATGAATGGATTGTATGCATTAAACACTAATGACTGAAGGCCAGACAAACTGTGGGATGATGATATCAAGTTCATCATACAAGAAGAAAGATTTTGAAAACTAAAAACTTTACCTTTTCTAGAAATTGTACCAAAACCTCCACTTAGTTCTTTCATTTGTACTATTCCTTCAGATGAAGTAATTTAGCACCCATCATAGGCTAGGTTCTCTAGAGAAGCAAAATCAGTGAACATTAGAGAGGAAGAGAGAGAAGTTTTTCTCAAGGAAATGGCTTGTGCAGTTATAGAGGCTGCAAGTCCCAAGTCTAGGGGTCAGATGTCAAGCTGGAGTCTTCTCCTGACTCACATAGCTGCTGTGCAGGAACTGACAAACCTAAGATCAGCAGGCAATAAGCAGCCTGCTGGTTCTGGAGGCTGATGAATCCAAGACTGGCAGGTAAAGTGGTAGATTGTTGGCTCATGGTCTGCAAAGGCAAT